CCCTGTTGGTTGTGGCACTTTCCCTTTTTGCAGTGGACGTTTGTGAAAGCGCCAAAAAGCAGGGAACATGGATGGGGTCGCCATGCGCGTGGCAAATAATTGAGCTGGGCATGTCCATGCCGCATTGTGAATGAACCTGCTGCATCCCCCAAAGTGGCTACGGCACACGTCGCGGAGCCACAACAACCCTTCAACAAGAAGCAAACACGTCCAGAACATGACACGTGTTCTGCGGCCACCTCCAGTGTCCTCGCTGGGAACTCATCGAACTTTCCAGGCCCGGCGAGAGACCAGCGCCATTCCAACAAGGTCTTCTTCACCATGACCCTCCTTGGTCTCAAGCAGGCTAGAGACGCTGTCTTTACGTTGTACCGCTGCCCCCCCCCCCCAACACATCTTACCCAAAACCATACCAGAGCCGCACACTGCTTCCTCGCATGATCAGAGCAGAGCGGCACCTCCTCCAAGCTCAAGCGGCCGCTGCCAGTGAAGTCAAAGCTGGAGAACGTCTCTGGAAGGGTACCTCGGCATGAGGGAGTTAGGGAGAGGGAATGAGCGAGGCTCGGACAGGCTTGAGAACTGTCTGCATCTCTTGCCAGGGTCCAAGTGCAGCTCAGGAGCTGAAAAGGAAGTCTGGAAGCTCGAAATGCCGAGCCTAGTGCTGAGCTGAAACATTGCAAAGCAGACGTACTCCAGGCCCTCCGTGTGCCGCAAGCCAAGAGGCCAGGTCGGCCGTGAAGTTGATGGCCTCACCCAAGCTCAAGGACCTGTCACAGCAGCGACTGGAAAGTCTCCTCCTCTTCCACAACCCAGAAAACCCCCTTTTTTTTCATCAGGACTTGTGCAATCGCCTGAACCCAAAAAACCCTAAACCCTAAAACCAAAAAACAAGAAAGCAAAGAGGAAGCGGAGCGGAGCGGCCCTGCCTTCTCCCCATTGAGTCCCTTCCGCTGGCGTAGCGGTGGAAGAAGAACATGACCTTTGTGTTCCGCATCAACCTGGCCGCGGCCGGGTCATCATCCGTCAAAGCCCCAGATGTCCTAATCCAACCACCTGACCATCCCTGACCCACCCTAGGCCCTCACCCCCCAAACTCGCCTTTGCTGCAGGCAGCGGTCCACTGCCAGGAGGATCTGGCCATTGGGATCTTGCACGCTGGTTGCCATTGCCCAGAGCCGAAGGGTTCGGAGCTTCGGGACTCAATGTTTCTGCTTTTTCATCAGAAGTCTTCATGTTTTGGGTTTGGCTCACACACTTAGACACTTCCACTGTGGAGGGTGTTTCGGTTCTAGCCCTTCGGGCTGGATAAACCGGGGCCCGGCCCTGCGGCTGAAAGACCAATTATTAGAATAGGGCTCCTTTTAAAGGGATCCTTAGAAGGGATACTATAATGGGTACTATAGGGCTCCTTTAAAGGGATCCTTAAAAGGGATACTATAATGGCTACTTTAAGGGTCTATAATGCAGGGGGACCCATCCAACCTCCTCTTGCAATGTGGGACGTACTGGGTAGGGCATTTGTCTGGGCTGGCATGAGTTGGCATCCTCGGAAGCAGCTCGACCAGTTTCCCGTCTGGGCTGCCAACTCTTTGTGTTTTGGATGCAACCTATTCTGGCAACAAAAAATCGTTGCAGCAAAAGCTGATTGGATGATCTGGCTGCGGGCAAAGCAGAGACGGACGTGGAATAACGTCATCCCACACGCGAGAAGACTCGTGCACTCTGGCGCTCAGCTTAGTTCTTGGCAATGCGGCCGCGGTGTCCCGCGGGCACTGCTGATGATACTTGAGATTCCTGCTCGACTCAGAAGCTCAGAGCACACACAAAGCTCGGAGCTCCAGAAGATGCCCAGGCGCCTATCTCCCAGCTCCAGCTTGCAAACCAACGATGCTTGCGGGACGATCAGCAAGCTTTGTGCCTTCAGTCTCAAGAAACGACACGCGACGGCGGCGTGATTAAGGGTAGTGGCCTCGCCCCGGGAGCATAGCTTCAGCACGGACTCGGCATCACCGTGATCACTTTGCCACTGTCCTGGGCCGGCTCGACCCTTCACCAATTCGTCTTCAACATAACTGACATCTCTCCGCTCACCGCTTCAAAAGACCTTGTTGGGTTTTCCCACATGTGGTGCTCAATCTACGCAGGAGGATGCTGTCTCTGCTTGGGTGCTTTTGTTGCTTTGGCCGTTACTGTAGGGACCTCTGCTGAAAACATTCCGCGAGCCCTGGCCTGATGAGGACAGCGGAGCCGTCAGCAGCGACTTCGCTGCTTGCTTCAAACAGCGAGCCTCTGGTGGAATTGAAGGATCCTTGAGGGTGGTCTGAGGGGCCCTACTATGGCGCCTGGACGCGTAACGTGTCGGATAAGTTTCGGATACAAAGCTGTGGCATCAACGCACAAGTTCCGAGGTCCGCGCAGCGACTTCGCCTTAGAGTGCTCAGGAAGCCCGTGGAACCGAACCGAACCGCAGGAACCGAACCGCGACGAACCGAACCGCAACGAACCGCGCGAACCGCGAACCGAACCGCACGAACCCAAGTCCTGCGAACCGAACCGAACCGCGATCTTTATTCGCATTGTTATTACTACGCCTCGTCCTCCTCCTCCATACTCTTATTCCTCTTAGGCCTAGTCCTAGTCCTAGTCAGTCCGAGTCCTAGTCCTAGTCCTAGTCCTAGTCCTAGTCCTAGTCCTAGTCCTAGTCCTAGTCCTAGTCCTAGTCCTACTACTACTACTACTACTACTACTACTACTACTACTACTAATCCTACTACGACTGCCACTACTACCTACGACTACAGCCGGGCCTGAACACTCTAAAATGATGAGCCAAGTCCCGCCGAAATCACGTGCCTCAACATTTTGAGGGTTTCGGGGCCTGAAAACTGCAAAATGATGAGCCAAGTCCCGCCGAGATCAGCATTTTGGAATTTTCGGGGCCTGAACACTCTAAAAT